TTTTTTTTAAGTTTGATGTCTGCATAAAACAGCATCACATTTCACAGACACACTGGCACAAGTAAACAAAGGAGCTTTTCAAATTGMTCAATGATCCTTTTTCATTGCACTAAAAAAATCTAAATAATAAGCATACAAGCTTAGAAATAATTCAGTTCTTCACCAACATCATGTCATTAAAATCACATCCCTATCATGTCTCGCTTTATCCATCCAAGTGTTTCAATAACCCACATTGCAAATACTGTCCTTGGCATTCAGGAGACCTCTGCCGTGTCCTGTTTGGGTCTGACTGTCTCTGTGCATACTAATGACCCCTTGAACATCTGTCTCACTTAGTCCCAGCACTGATAGCATAAAGGTGGGGGCGGATGCTGATTTTTCATGGCTGGCTGACTTGATAAAGCCATGTGTTCAGTTTGAACATGTGAGGCAGTTTATTAGTCCACAGATGAGTAGTTGTGACCCTGACTCACCTCTTCCCAGAGCCCKTGCAGCTGGGAAGTCGAAAGACATCGATTTATGAATCCCAAATTGAGGATTGTTATTTGTCATACAGGCAATTGGGTTTTGATTCACTCTTGATTGCTCCTTGTGTATTAATTTGTGGTTTCATAATTGAGGATTGATTTCAACTTGCATACATTATTTCCATAAGCTTTGTTTATATTCATGCCTACAGATTTATTCATATTACTTGAATGGAATAGAGTGCAATGGAGCAAATACTTAATTGGAAAGAGTGTGACAATCGAAGCTTTCAATATTTCTGCTCCTTATTAAAAAATGGCAAATGGCATTACTTACTCTGAATGTGCAATGAGCATGACCAAACAAAGAACTACCCTAAAACAAACAAACAAACAAACAAACAAAAAAGCTTTGAATTTATGAATACAAGAATTGAAATTTAAATCGTTTTTATGTTTTTTGTTTTTTTGTGTGTCTGTGTTTGTGCATTTTTGGGGCTTTATCATCACTATTATAAAATCCTGAACCATGGTGTACACATACTAGAAGTTAAAGAGATGGTTTACAAATTTTTATCTTCATCTTGTCTTCCATAAATCTGTCTTGTAAAATATAATTAAAAGAAGAAACTGGAAAATGACTTTGGCTAGTGACTAGCTAGACTGGACCCTGTTTTAGTGTCATTTTAGACATTTAAGCATGACTGCTATTGGGCTTCAGTTTTAATTTGATGCAGTCTAATACTATGAAGCGTGTCTGGTTCAGTAGTAAGATAATAATCTTTAACACAGCATACTTTTTTTGTTTTATCCTTGATCTCATAAGGTCTGCAGATGCAACAAATCTGAGCCAAACTTTGAGCTGCATACACAGGCCAAAAAATAAATGGAAGTGAACCATTTAGGATAAACTCTCCTTAATAAATGATCCTATGGTATGGCAAATACAGTATGTCCTTACGCAAAACAATGAAAAGAGTGCATTTTCATTGACAACCATAGGAACCAGTTTAAGACAATTTACATGTCAACAAATAAGGTGCCACATATTGAGCAACAACATAAAGTAAGCAAACGTGGTTTACAGTATTTGCCTAAAAAAAAACTTTAAATTAGAATCAGTCTAGCCAGTAGCCTATTATTTTCTTCTTTCTTCTTTACCCTCCCTTGATTTTACAATTAATAAAGTAACAGCTATTGTTAAATACACTGCCTGGCCAAAATATGTCACCACCTGGATTTAACTAAGTGCTTTGATGTGAGGTTGCTGCAGTTGGTTAGGCCTAGGTTCAGCAACAGWATGTGCTCAAAGAATGAGGTCAGCTGACCACCTGAATATACTGAATGACCAGGTTATTCCATCAATGGATTCTTCCTTCCCTGATATCATGGCATATCCCAAGATGACAATGCCAKGATTCATTGAGCTTGAATTGTGAATGAGTTCATGAGTTTATGTAGTGAAGGAATTTATCCAAACGATTAACTGAATGTTACATGCAGTATTGTATTTTTTTTAAGAATGAGAGTTGGTGTGTTATCATGTGTTCTCCATTGGGTTATGTTCTTACATCTGACATAAAAAGTAACACCTCCAAGGGTGTAACCAGGAAGAGAAATACATTATAAGGTCAATTCATCATTATAGAAGTGGAGAAAAGTGTTTTTAGAAGTTGTTAGTGTTTTGCAGAGTCTCTGCTTAGATCTAGACTGGACAGACTGGGCTGTTTTGTTTGGGTTYTAGCTCAAGACCTTACACTGAGGCCTGACTGCTGTAATGCTGAATGAACYTGATTGGAGTCAGAGACAAACATAAAGAACTGAGAAGAAATCCAGTGGATTCCTGCTTTATTCTGACATGACATTTTTGAACGGTGTATTATTTTTCTACAGAAGCATGAGACATCATATTTCACAYATGGATTTGCCACCACAGAGTCCATTGAGAATCTTTGGGATGTGCTGGAGAAAGCTTTGCGCAGCGGTCAGACTCTACCATCATCAAGGCAAGATCTTGGTGAAAAATAATGCAACAGTAGTTGGATAAAAATAGTCTTGTGACATTGCAAAAGCTTATCGAAACAATGCCCCAGTGAATGTGTGCCGTAATCAAAGCAAAAGACGGTACAAAAAATTGAGGTGTGACCTTTTTTTTGGTGGTGGTGACCTTTTTTTGGCCAGGCAGCGTATTTGACGATCATCACTTTAAAAATGACTAAACTCTCCCTTTCAGTCTTGATGGTATTATAAAGTAGGCATACCCATGGGCAGAAATTCAATTTCTCATTGAGGGGAGAAAATAAGAATAATTCTTTTGGTGAAATAAATATTAATAATATTGTAACTCCTCCTCGGGTTTGACCATGTCGCAGGTGGAGTTACTCACCACCGTACTAACATGCAGAGGTGTCAAGTAATAAAGAACAAATACTCCCTAAATATCTTAAGTAGAAATTTTGGTTATCTCTACTTTAATAAGGTAATTATTTTTCCAGCCAGCTTCTTAAATCTACTCCTTACATTTTAAGGTAATTCCAAGCCTTTTCCATTAGGCTAGATTCATGGAACCAGCCCCTTTTTTAGTATCTACTTCATTGTGGTTCCAAGTGGTCCCAGTTGACACCAAAACGTGACGTCAGAATACTGTTCGCCACTGATTGGCTAGCGGGTGGAGTCACTGGTTGTGTCTGAGCTGSCTTTACAACAACAACTCAAGGAGACATTTTTCAATTGTAGCAGCAACATTAGTTGGTTTCCATCCAATTTTAATTCAATATTTTAGCAAATATTTAAAAATTCAGAACTTATTCAGCAAATGTGTTTCCATCTCTCATTTTGTGCATTAACTTTTTTTTTTCCAAAAAAACCCAAAAACCACCTCCACCAACTGCCCAAAACACATCCACTGGAACCGGACTGGAACGTCAATGGAAAAGCACCTGAACTGACCCGTTCTGACACTGACCGTACCGACACTACACTAAGTGATACTAGTGGAAAAGGGATGCTATTTGTACTTTCTACTATTTACATTTTAAAAATTCAGTAAGTAATTCATTTTTATTTCACTTTGATTTGTTTTGCTGCTTCTCATCTAAAGAAAAAAAGAAACAAAAATGTCTATTCAAATATGGCATGGATAATTGTGGTTGGATGAGAAGTATAAATATTTACCATTCTGACACACTATTGATTTGTAAGCACCATCACACCTGCACATTACGAAACTCAAGTCACACTCCAAGCAGGACATAGCAGAAGATGACTCTGACAGAGATGTATATGTTGTATATGTGGCTGAAACAGGTAACTTATCATTCAGCTATTTATTCAGGTTAGCTCTTCAGTCAAGTCATTGCTGTGTTGCCTTAAGCAGGTGTAGAATAGACTAAACCATTGTTCGGTTGATGGTGGATGAGTGAGGGTAACTTTTGAAATGCGTAAATGCATTGTTTTGCCTAAATAAATGGGTGTGCATGTGTTTCATTTTTTTTCCGACACACCCAGAATGTGTGCCTTTGGGAAAACAGTAGATTAGCCTCAACTTACCAACTTCAGACATCTCAGGGACACTGGCAAAGTATATTTCCCTTGCAAATTTAGGTTCATTGTCATTGATGTCATGAATTTTGATGTTAAATTCCGTGTCGGGCTCCAGTTCTGCATTGGTGTTTCTGTCCACAACCTTGGCATGGAGCGTGTACATGGCTTTCTCCTCTCGGTCCAGCCTCTTTGTGGCATGAATGTCTCCAGACTTTTCATCAATCAGAAACAGGCTGCCTGCCCCGTCTCCAGTCAGGATGTATTTTACAGTGCCGTCACCTTTATCCATATTGGAGTGCAGCTGAAACATGAGAAAYGTTTGTTAAATAAAAAAGTATATATTTCTTTAATAATAAATACAAATAATATAGTGTTTGACAATTGGTGTTCATAGATAGRTATGGTCAATACATAGAAAGCTAAATTGCTATTTCTTCTCTACTTTTTGCCTCTTTTAAAATATTGAAAACCATTTCAGTTTTGATTTCCTGCATAATTTGATTTAAATAACACTTATCCCTTTACATTTCCACCACAATCTATATAAACCTCTTGTGGATGCTGAAATAATGATGTAAGTCCACTGAGGGATCTGTCTCAGTCGCTGAGTCTCAGTRCCTCGACACCCACGGTGTCAAGTGCGACATAGCCCATTACTCAAGGTCAAATTAGTCTTAGATTTTTCTTCCAGATTGTGCCTTTGAAAAATGATGAAAATCTGACCTACAGCAACAACTGCTAAAATTAGTCACCTCTGACCTATCCATCACCTTGAAGAGCCTTGTGGTGTCRCAGAGGAGTAATGGCGGCATGCTGTGACAGACGTTTGATTCAAGCTCATTACTGTTCTGGATCTGTCAGCAGATATATTTAGAGCACCATCTCACGGGTTCACATTTTAAATGACGAGAAGTTAGGGACGCACTGTGCACCTCGGTAGCTCATTAATATTAATGCCTGCTTGCTGTGAGGGAAGTAATTATTTTTCCTGCATTTGGAAGAGCAATGCCAACAGCACAACATTGGATGGAAATCAGAAATGAATTGCCAGAACGGTGACTCTTCTCGGGAAGAATTAAAGAATGGGAACGCTCATGGAAACAAGACACTGTCAAGTTCAAACGAGCTATACGCGCAGGGTTTGGCACTGCATTTGAAGACATTTTCATGCAGCTGAAACCTATTATCTAAAGTCTATTAAAGAGGGATGTCAGTGAGCTTGAATGTTTACTATTCATTGTTTGTGAATTTGAATTCTCTCTTGGGGATTGGGCCAGTGAACCAAAGCTTTAAGTCATGTTGTGAATGTGAAGGCTTCTACTGCTATTGACTTTAAATGATGGGATAATTTTGTCAACTTGGAGAGTATTTACATGAATTTTTGCACCCAAATGGGTGTCTTACCCTGGATATGATGCTCGTTTGAATGCAAATAATGGTAGAGGCATTTCAAATTAGCTTAGGCTATAAAAACCTTGGTTTGCAAAATGTTTTTATGCTAAAACWTTTGWTCTTGTACAAGCAAATGGAAAAWAAATAAATAATCAAACAGCTCATGGAAGTATTTTATTACCTACCTACTATTYACWTAAACTACTGCAAGAMTTTTAMTGAAACTCTTAAAATGTAATCATTGGATGTACATCTACAGATGGCTGCCAAAGCAAAGTAATTTTAGCAAAACCCAATGTCTAATCTCATCAGTTATTYAGCTAAAATGATGTGTTAGTAGATGACCATCATTCACAACATATACAGCAAGCACTATTCATTGCAGAACATCTTTACTTTAACTCCCAGTTTACACTTCACACGGTTCTACTCCGCTACGCTGCACAGTTTGCCGTCATTTGTT